TTAGTTCTGTGAAACAAAGCAAAACCAATGTTATACCGTGTCTACACCGGACGTGAGCGGTGCGGTGTGACAAAATACTATAGAACTCATTATAATCAGTGATGCTGTCTACACTGGATGCGGCGTGGCACGACACGACAAATCTCCGACAGAAAACTGCTGCTGCGTTCTATTTATGACGTATTGACACAAATTTCAAATAATTTTCAAAGGTCGCTTTGTCGCATCCACTATAGACAGACTTTAGCTGTTGCGGCGTGGCGCGTCCGGTGTAGACACGGTGTTACTCACCTATCGAGAAGAAACAAAGCAACCTCGGCGTCCGATCGCAGGCCTCCGCTCCTTGAGTTCTCTCCAGCGCTGGAAAGCTGATCCGATATTTACACGGGTCCTACTTCTTGCCTTATCGTAAGCCTTCTTTTGTTCTGCATACGGTTTCCTCTTTTGTTTTTTATCCGCCATCTCTATCTTTCTGTGCTCGGCTTGGCTAATGTCTGTCCTGTGCACTGAACGCTCTCTCCTCCACATCATGAGTAGACACGCCCCTTACTACTGATTGGCTACAAGTTATTTTTGGTACTCGGCCCGATTCAGTTTTCTAAAGCTTTTTTGAAAAAAATACATACCCCACCTTTAATGGATTGAATAATCACTGATTGGTGCTTAATTAACTCCCTTTCTCTCCTGTCAGTAGTGCCCACTCCTCGTCCTACAGATGGTGTGGATGTTTACTTCGAGATGCCGGGCGACGACAGTGAACATGCCAACTTCCTACGTGCCAAGTTGGACCTGGAGGAACGGCGAATGAAACGCATCAATGAGGTGAGGGAGGCGGGGATTTTTATGCGTGCATATAAGGTCTTATGTGACCTAAAAGTGTTTAAGAGGGAATCATGACTTTATTTGTGCATCAGATCATGAAGGAGTGGGCAGAGGCAGACAACCAGTCAAAGAACCTGCCTAAGTCAGACCGCCAGGCACTGAATGAGGTAAAGAAATTAATTATTTAATTGTGTTTTTCAATACTTTTATTAAGTAAGGATGCATTAAATTGATTTAACCTAATAGTGGAGACATTTATAATGTTACAAAACAACTGAAGCAGCTCAACTTTTTCAGCATTGATAATAATAGTAAATGTTTCTTGAATAATTTTTGAATGTGACACTAAAGACTGGAGTAATGGCTGCTAAAAATTCAGCTTTGCATCAGAAATAAATTACATGTTAAAATATATAAAAATAAAATTTTAGCAAATAAATGCAGCCTTGGTGAGCATAAACTTTTCTTTAAAGAAAATGCAAATAATTAAAATAAAATATGACCAATCCCAAACGTACAGTAGTGTATGCTATCTATTAAAGGGGTCATATTCTACACTTTTGTGACATTTCATTTTTTCTCCTTGAACCAAGATCAGTTTCTCATGACTCATGATCTTATGACTGACCCTTAGATTTTAACAGAAATAAATGATCGCAGCTGTAATAAATAATAATAGTTATTACCATCATCATCATCATCATCAATATTGTTATTATTATTAATGCTGTTCTGAACAAGACAGTGTGGTATTTCTGCAGTCTTGTACATTGACCACAGGATGGCACCATTGGAGTTTAATGAGTTGAGATGATTTTTCCCCCCAAGTAAAAAAAAATAAAAATACTTCAGACTTTTAAGTAGAAAGCTTGAGTAGAATTTGAAATTATTTTCTTACCACATGATGAACTCAGTGTTCGTGTGTTCCTCAGATCAACACCTCTGTGGAGCTGAAGCAGGTGGTCTACAAGTCTCCAGGAATCCAGAGAGATGAGCTGGTGAGCATCTTAAGCCCTTCGTTTGAGAATGAATTACTTTTGTGAAGTCTAATGTTACGTTAAGATCTTGGAAAATTACTGTAGCATATATTTCTCATTGTACATTTAAGTTCAATAATGCAGTTGTTAACTAAGTAGGATGAATTTCCATCATAAGCAAATAAAGTTATACCCCCCAGGTGCTGATTTGGTTCTTGTATTGTACTGAATGTGAAACCCAATGCCTCATGGTTTTCTATCACAGCAGCCAGATGTTTTGGAGACATTTAACCGTGGAGCAATGGTGGGGCTGCTGGTGGTTGCCGTGGCTATCGCTATGGTGATGGTCATCAGCTTGTTGCTAGTTCGCCGTAAGCCTTATGGAACCATCAGTCATGGCATAGTGGAGGTGAGAGTTTGTCTGAGAGGATCATTACTGACATTTGCGTGTTTGTATTTGAAGCAGCACATCCAAGAAACAGGGTCAAACCCAGACTCAAAATGGCTTCTGGCTGATGTTTATGGTTTCTAATGTTGTAGCATAGTTCAGTTACACCATGACCCATTATATTTAGCTATAACACGAGGACGTAACAACCCCTGAAGCAGTTTCCTGCTGCTATCTGTTTTGCTATCTAGTCGTTTGACATCTAATCTGATATTTTGATTTGATAGGGAAAAAAGCATAACAGGAAAAGTCAAGTCATGAAACAGAATTTAATATTTAATTAAAAAGTTATACATACATGTACATATACATACATACAGTATTCTGGCAAGTATTTCATAATTACTGTTTAAAAGTTTATTGTTAAAAGTTTCACAAAACGGGTTCCTTTCCATATGTAAAACTTGTAAAAGATAAACACAGGCCTTTATGAATCATATATAACGTTCTCTTTGGGGTTTCTTTTTCAATATCTCCATGACTATTTACCCAATAAATAATTAAGTGGACATGAAATAAAGATTTGAGTTGAAATTATTCTGTAGAGACAGTGGACCGTTTCTGCTTTAAAGCAACACATAAAAAAGTAAATAATTGTGAAATAAAGTTTAAAATAAGCTTATTGCATATTGCATATATCACATTTGTGTAATCTATAGCTGCAATTATAAGATATAAAACAGCAGTTTTGAGAAATAGTTATAATATTAATATAGATATTAAGATATTAAATTTCAAGATATAAAGTCAAAATCAGTAGATATAAAGAGATAGGTTTGTTTGTTAGTTGTTTTTGTTTTTTTTAATCTGTCAGCAATCAAGTATCAGGTTAGATGGTAGGTCATTATACATAAATGTGCCCCTGGACCACAAAACCAGTCATAAGGGTCAATTTTTCAATAAAAAAAATATATATATCAAAATATTGAGAAAATCACCTTTAAAGATGTCCAAATGAAGATCTTAGCAATGCATATTACTAATCAAAAATTAAGTTTTAATATATTTACAGTAGGAAATTTACAAAATATCTTCATGGAACATGACCTTTACTTAATATCCTTTTTATCCATTTACTTTGACCCATAAAATTTATTTTTGGCTATTGCTACAAATATACCCCAGCGACTTAAGACTGGTTTTGCGGTCCAGGGTCACAAATGGTAAATCATTATATTAATTTATGATATGTGATGTTATAATTATGATAGATCATTATGAATATTTGACAGAATCAAGCATGTATGCAATGGAAAATTATGCTATCTGTATTTTGTATACATATACAGGGCCGAGATTTACAAAATATTCTCAAGATGTTCTTTTGATTTTCATAAAACACAAACGACTTAAAAAAACGACAAAAAAAAAGTTTTAAAAATCATCTTAAATAGCCTCTTGAAGTTAGGATGGCCTCACACTTTGACCTTTGACATATTTATTCTTACTATTACAATATTTTACTTCTATAATTTAACATTCTTATGTGTTCTACATGGAAAGACCGTCAAAAACCGTTGGGTTGCAAGCTGCTTTCTATTACAAAAAAAGAGAAATATTAATAGATTTACTAAACATTTACCAGTATTGAAATATTACATTTATTAGACAAGGTAATTGATGATCCTGTCAATTTTTTCTTAAAAAGAAAACTAAGATTTTTATTTGATAACATTCTTACAAACTTCTTATTTACAGTATTTTTTGATTTTTTTTCTACATTTCCTGCATTTGTATACTGGTTGGCCACACATATGCTAACACGAGGCACTAATCTTGTTCAATTTTAAATAGTTTTTTCCATACGGGAAGCCTGCTCAAATGTGCCTGCCTTAATGATTTCAGATTTACTCAACTTATTAAAACGTTTCCACTCATTAATTTTTCTCATTAATATCACTTATGCTCCATTCTAAGCAATTCTTTCCCTGTCTCTCTCCCAGCAGGTCGACCCCATGCTGACCCCCGAGGAGAGACAGCTGAATAAGATGCAGAATCACGGCTATGAAAACCCCACTGTTTTTTCTTAAAAAGAAAACTAAGATTTTTATTTGATAACATTCTTACAAACTTCTTATTTACAGTATTTTTTTTATTTTTTTTCTACATTTCCTGCATTTGTATACTGGTTGGCCACACATATGCTAACACGAGGCACTAATCTTGTTCAATTTTAAATAGTTTTTTCCATACGGGAAGCCTGCTCAAATGTGCCTGCCTTAATGATTTCAGATTTACTCAACTTATTAAAACGTTTCCACTCATTAATTTTTCTCATTAATATCACTTATGCTCCATTCTAAGCAATTCTTTCCCTGTCTCTCTCCCAGCAGGTCGACCCCATGCTGACCCCCGAGGAGAGACAGCTGAATAAGATGCAGAATCACGGCTATGAAAACCCCACTTACAAATTCTTCGAGCAAATGAACTGAGGAGGGCTCTACAGTCTCAAGGCCATGCCCTCCTCTCTCGCCTCCTGTTTTTCGATTGGGGTTTCCACTGCAACCCCCTCTCCCTCGTACTGTATGTATGACTATATGACCGATGTTCAAAATGTACAACAAACCTGGCACGTAAATAGGGAGTTTGTAGTAAAAAGTTTGCATACTACTCTCTCATCAGGGAGAGACACTAATAAGAGAATCCGCAGAGCACCGAAAGCTCCTTTATCCCCCGGTTTTTCCTTTCATTCATGAGGGTGTGGCCGCGCCGAGCATGGTCGGCCGTTTTAAAATCTTGGAATAGTGTCACACTTTCTTTCAGAATGAATTTCAAAGAAGCTAAACATGACCTGAGTGCTTTGTTTTGTCGTTTCTATTTTCAAAGCAGTTTATTTCATGGTCGAAACTGTGATATGAATGAAATAATATATTTTTGAGTTCACCGGAAGATGTTTTGACCCTCTAAGACAACTTATTTCTAAAAGTCATTTTAGAATAAACTGCTAGTCTCTTTCTGTTTGACTTCAGACATAAAACGAACAAGGTTTGTATTCACGTATAACTCAACCATCCGACATTCTGGTAGATTGTTAGTCTCAAACCACACCGTAAGAAACTGAATCAGTGTTTTAAATGTACCACGAACGTTCATCGAACAATACTACCCGAACGCTTCGAATATTTTTCTGGTATTGCTTCTTTAAAAGTAAATTCTAAGTAATCTGAAGTCCATACGCGTAAAGAAAAGCATGCGAAATTTGTTGTATGATGCTATAACGTACTTGTGTTGGTCCTGTTTCTTGCTTTTTGATAAAAATTAAAATATCACACTGCAACAATGACGTGTACATAACTAAAGACGTAAATCGAATAGACGTTTCCATCATTAATTTGTATCGACGCAACGTGTGGACGTAAAGATGACCTTGTGCTGCTCACACAGAGAACGAAACATTTCCTAACATGGCTGAATGAAAACGGACTGTTGTATAAACCAGCACAAGAAAATGACACAGTAACTCCTGACTGAATGTATCTTCGGTAGACATCGGCTCCATTGACGTCCCTCCTCACACACCACGGCGGTTAGAGTGCAGGTTAGGCACTGTCCACACGAACGAGGTTATTTTTAAAACCGCAACTTTTTCTACGCGGTTAAGCTGTTCGTCCACACGCAAACGCAGCACCCGTTCACTGAAACCGAATATTTTTGAAAACGCCTGCCAGGGTGAAGACTTTCAAAAACCGAAACCGGAGTTTTTGGCTTGTGACGTCAGCGCCTGCGCTGTTATCGCCGCCTACAGGAGACTTTTTCAGGCTTCTGATTGGCCAACATGGCTTTACGGTTGAGATTATATCGCCACCTGTTGGTTTGGCATGCTCTTGACAGTGCTTCATGGCATGCGTTTGCATTTTCATGTGGACGGATATTTTGTTTTAAATGGAAGAAGGAAAAACTCAGTTTTTAAAAATACCCGTGTACGTGTGGACATGGCCTTAGTTAGCTTAGCTAATCGCTCCGTTTTCATACAGTAGTTGATTTAACTGTCGAGGGTTTGTGTTGCGTAACCGAATCTAGCGTCACCTCTGAAAGGTTGAAAACAACTGATGTGATTCCAAAACTGGTTTAGGTTTCTGTACACATGTCACTAAGTCTTGCAAATCAAGTTTGTTTTTTTAATATTAGAGGGTTATGGAGTTGTCAGTCTAATGCGTTTCTGTTTTAGTACATGATAGAAATTTTAAATCAAATTTTTGGGTGTAAACCCAAACGTAAACCCAACAATTACTGTTAGCCTGTCGTAGAAAGAACATGTCTTGCTCTAAATCTTTTTATTAGTAGACCAAACAGGTTTTTGAGAAGAAAACAGAAAATCATCCTGTGCTTATATATTACGTGACATATCAGCAGAAGTGAAATCAAAATGTGGGCCCAGTACGTTTATGTTTGCCATTACTTCAGTCCAAAACTACACTTTTATACCAAACCAAACTCCGTCCCATGAAATCTTAGCTCATATTGATTTAAAAAAATAAATATACAGATTTATTCTGAGTCAAGACACAACAAACTTTGTTCATGATCGTTTGTGTCTGATTACATTGCCTTTTTTGTCTTCCTTTGTTTGTTCCACGACATATCTGAACTGAAACCAAACCACAGAAGCAGCTTGCTTAACTGCACATTACTGGAACATTTGATTGGACAGAAGCTTCTCGATGCATTCTAATAATTTTAAGGCATCATTAGATTCATTAGACTTAGACTTAGACTAATTCAACAACTGGCACCAGATGCTCATGGCACTTAAAATGGATCATGGACGGCCTGCTGTTGATTTGATTGCGCTGAGGTGTATTTATGAATTGTGATGAGTTAAAATTGTGGTTTGATGCCCTAATTTAGGACTCTTATATAGATTTCGTACCAGCATCAGGCAGATTTAGGATGGTGTATTCAATAGGGATTGAATTTAAGTTTATACGTGTCTTCTCTTGGTTGAGATGACCCTTCCCTCTTTTATCCTGAACCAATAGAAATGTAAACGAAGTTACGGATGTTTTAACTGCTGCATTATTGCCTTTTTCAATGCTGTGTTTTGGATGTAATTATATGTATTTTTTATTTAAGTCAATATTAATTGGAGTTTGGGTCATTTGGACTGTAAACACTGAACGGGTCTCCTGCTTGAAAACTAAACTAATTAACTGAGAGCACAACTGTATCCAGATTGACTCATTTGTGTCCATTCATTAGTACTTCAAAATCTTTTCTCGTCTTGCTGAAGAATCAGTAAAGTGAAGGTTAAGAGCCTACGTCTAATGTGTTGAACATCCTATACACCCCAATTTTATCTTTCAAATTACTAGCATGTATTGAAGATACAGCTTGATAATGTAAAATAATTGGTTACTTTAAAAGTAAAGATGTAATTTGGTGAACTGGTGCTTTAAGGAACTTGTCATTAAGCTACTGAAACAAATGCAGTGAAATAAGCTGATCTCGAATCATTCTGAATTTCACCAAAGACGTGTTCTGGATATGATTGGAAGGCCAAATAATGTGGTGTGTTTTTAATTGACATGTATTATAAGAGCAAGCAACCTGTGAACTGATCTGGCTTGTTGTACTTGCATTAAAATGACAATAAAATGATAAATGACCCACACAGTTTGACTGTGGTTTTTAACTTTTTAAATAAATGCCTATGGCAATTTATATGATCTCACCAATAATCTACAGTCTGTAGTGTGTAATAGTGGAAGTTGTTGTGAATGGAACATGAAAAAAGCATCAGCCTGTCAACACGTTTTCTGTCCTTCAAATGCAGCAGCTGCTTACTTTTACTTCTGATAAAAAGATCAGTATTCTAGAGTTAAAATACTGGAGGTAAAATACTCAAATTTTTTATTAGTTTTTCTTTTATTTTCTGAAAAAATATATATTGTTTTCACATTGAAGAACACTTTACTAGAGCTTAATCAAAGGTAAAAAGTATGTGTGTAAGTGGGTGAGTTGGTGGACTGGTGATTCACAGCGTCCTATTTTTAACAGGAAGTATTTCAAAGTTAAACAGGTTAGAATAACCGCATACCCCTTTTCACTTCACTTACATAGAAAAACGTCTCAGGTTACTTATGTAACCATGGTTCCCTGAGTAGGGAACGAGACACTGCGTCCTGAAAGGGAACCAAGACGTTAACTATATTTGGTCTATGTGTGTGTCATTTCATATCAATAAAGTAGTATGATTTGGGCGATAACAAAAATAAAATTGTTTCCATCATTACTGATCTGAGATAATTTTACTACTTTTGTCCAACTTGTTTTTGTAACTGACTAAAACAAGCTTATAAAAGCATGAGATCTTTGCAGACTGTGGTAGCTAGACAACCAACCACAGTGGGGGGGGGGGCTCTAGGAAGGGTTCTGGTCGTCCCAAACGTCTTCCATTTAAGGATTATGGGGGCCACTGTGCTCTTAGGAACCTTAAGTGCAGCAGACATTTTTTGGTATCATATGTCAACAACAATGTCAAAAATATTACCCTCTTTAAAACCTTTTGATCAGAACCTCAAGCAACACTCAGGAACTGCCTGCATTTGAGAGCTGAGGAAGGGAAAGTGCATATCTAAGTGCACTCTTTGAATGTTCTGTCATCTTTGTCTCTGGTTAATATTGAAAATAAAATAAAAAATTACACTGATTATCTCAGTTTGAGAACAACGTAGGTGACCGTATTGAAAATAATAATTTTTAATAACAATGAAAAGCTTCATTTTGTCCATAATATTTTAACATAACAGGTTTGTTTTCAATGAACCGAGAGAATGTTTTAATTTTAACTGTGGTTTGTAAACAAAACACAGCTCACTTTACAAATGAGACCTCTTCTCAGATTTATGTTTGCCTTTTACTGCTGACATAAACATGCCACATCTTGCCTTGGCTATAAAACATGTTGCTAAACCTGTATATTGTGAGGTTTTCATGTTGTCAAATATTGTACCTAAAGAACTGTAGAGTTTGATGGAAAAACTATAGTAATTAGCAGGATTGGAGGTTTGACATTAATTACTTTTGAATGTATGCAGCCTTTGACCAGATTAGGACAAACTGATAATGGAAGCACTTTCATTTGGAACATTAGGTTGGACTGATGTTAACTGGTTGGACCCGTTTTTCAGTCAGTGAGTTTGTATTTGCCAAGAGCCATGGTAAAAGCTACTGAAACACTGATGTGCCATGTTCAGATCTCATTTGTGTGCTTTCCAAGGAGATGGGATTATTTGACCTGGTTTAGTGAAGAGGAAATTTTATGAGTCTTTTGACAGGTTGTACCTTTAAAAATATATATATATAATTTATAAATTACCAGCTGTATTGTAACGTTTGACATAAAAATGTTTCAAATATCTTTTATGCAATGTATATTTATTTCAACCTCTTATATCGGAAACACCTTGGCATTACTTCAAAGAGTGTTGAGTTCCTTTATATTATGTACTGATTTTGATAGCATAATATTAATACAGTTAATATAAAACAATAGTGTACTATTGGTATTGTTATTATTATTATCTTTTTATTAACAAATGCAGGAATAGTAAGAGGACAATGACGAGGAGTGGCCTGGTTTTTAAAAAGACATGTCTTTTACTTTTGTTTTAGATGTTTTAACTACTTTCCTCCATACTTGCCTGAGACAAATATACTTTTTTGGAAACAATGTAAGTGTTCAGTAAATCATTCAATGCTTTATTATTCCTTTATAAGTAATCAAATCATGCTTTTTTTATCGAATGGGGAAGTTGTGGCCTAATGGTTAGAGAGTCGGACTCATAACCCAAAGGTTGCGAGTTCGAGTCTCAGGGCTGGCAGGAATTGTAGGTGGGGGGAGTGAATGTACAGCACTCTTCCACCTTCAATACCACGACTGAGGTGCCCTTGAGCAAGGCACTGAACCCCCAACTGCTCCCCGGGTGCTGCAGTATAAATGGGTGCCCACTGCTCCGTGTGTTCACTGCTGTGTGTGTGCACTTTGGATGGGATAAATGCAGAGCACTAATTCCGAGTATGGGTAACCATACTTGGCCACATGTCACGTCACTTAACCATAACAAAACTAACAAGAACGTTTGCAGAAGTAGGTGCAATATAAAAAAAAAAAATCACAAAATAAATGTTTGCATAATTAGAAACTTTATTTTCATACTATTTCAAAACCTTTTTGAAATAGTTCACATTTTTATGTAAGCTTAGATTGGATGGACATGTGGAAATAATTAGGCATACTGATTTAATTATGCAAAAAATTGTCCCGATGGATTGTTTTTATTTATGTGTACCACTAGATAAGACACAATCTGCTGTGATGCCATGCTGAAGAGTGCTCAAATAATCACATAAACAGTAACCACAATGAAGTGCAAACTAAAAGCAAGAGGCTAATTTAGTTACTAAAGGTGACCGTTGTAATTTAACAATTCAGGCCAATTTGTAAAAGCTTTAATTTAGGCACCAAACATGGGACATGCTCTTGTATCTGTTGTGAATGATCATTCTTTCGTCTCTTTTGCTTTTAGTCCTGTCTAAACAGTATGGTAAAAAGTTTATTTGACCTATTGAAATCAATCCAGGGCTGTCTGGTAAGCCTAACACAGAGACCACTGGTGCCAACAACATATACACAGAACATGACATGCCTACAGTTTTATAAATCAAATTTTTTTAAAAGATATATTTTTGGCATTATTAGGACAGGTCAGTATTTCAGACAGGAAGGGAGGTAGGAGAGAGAAAGAGGGGATGGGGTCGGGAAAGTTCCATGAGCCAGGATTCGAACTTGGGACGCCCCGAAGTGCAACAGCGCTACATGCTACATGTACACAGGCCATTGGTGCCAACATAAATTTAAATATTTTAAACCACACATGGATTCTTGAGTTTAAGTTCAGTCTAAATTTTAGTATAGAAAATTATGTTTTATGCAGAAAGATTTACAAAGCAACTTTATATCCATTCAGTTTCTTACAGCTGTTTTCTTTTGTCGAATTTGCTTACAAATCGAAAAACAAATAACTGTAACCATGATAAAGATGAAAAGGTTTACAGAGACAAACACATACGTCAAGCTGGATTCCACAGAGACTGAGTCAGCTAGAAAATGAAAATGATAAATAGATAAGTTTATTAGTTAATTTATGTCAGAATATCAATTGTAATTTCAGTTTGATTAAAGAAAAAGCCATGTTTGGAAAACCTTGGAAAATCTTAAACATGATGTATAGTTCTATGATTTTTCTATGAAAAAAGTAGGCTAATGATACTCAGTGTTGGGCAAGTTACTCTGAAAATGTAATCAATTACTGATTACTGATTGCTCCTTTTAAAAGTAATCACGCTACTGTTCTGATTACTTTATTTCAAAAGTAATTAGTAATTAGTTACATTACTAGTTACGTTACTTTTTTCTCCATTAAATTTATGAAAGCTCAGCATACACGCTCCCGATAAATATTTGTTATTAAAGCATCAACATTCACAGAACACTGTTATTTTTAACTAAAGCCAGCGGCTGCTGCGTGCATGGTTTAGCATGGCAGAATGACAGCAAAGAGCGCTGCATTTATAATCCCTAAAAGAAATCTCGGTTCATCGCAATCTCACAAATCTCTGTTATTACACAATAAATATATGCATAATGAATCTTTCATAATGTCTACAATTCGTGTGTTATAATGAGAGGATTCGTGAACACGCAAATTTCAGCACTGCATTGCTCAATGCTGCAAACACGTGTTACAGCCTAAATAGAAACTCTGGATAGGCTTGCACCTGTTAATCGTTTATATTTTATATTAGTTCATGTTGCTTTTGTGCAATAGATGAATAACAATTTATTCGTTTTAGATATTTTATGTTTAGATATTTCTATTTTGCGGGAGTCCCGTGAATCATTTTATTCTCCTGCATCCCTCTCACACACACAAGCATAGTATGGGAAGCCAAACAACCCAAAAGTGGGATAAAACAGCGCGGTATTACAGTGTCCGCGCCGCGCTGACCTGTCATCGGCGCGGCTCAATGGACCGAGCTGCGCGACCGACTCAACAGCGCAGAGAGGACGTGTTTACTAGTGCCACCGAGCTGACAGCGCGGCGCGAACATTACTCTCTGCAGAGTAAGTTCTGTTTTTTTCTTGCACATAACATAATGAAGAGTTATTACATTTCTTTTTCTTATTATCTTTCATATTACTACATGTAAACAGTAGTGTTAGCTACTTTGAAGCATGTATAGCCTATATTTAGTAGTCACATTCACAGCAGAAACTTCCATTATCCTCTTAGAATTAGAGTTTCGTTCATCAAGGCATATTTTAAGTACATTTTACATTTAAGGATATTTGTATAACTGTAGCATATGATTATATTTGAAAAAAAAAGAGTAAAATGTACTGATACTGTTCTGTCAGGACATACATTTTCCCTTATGGAAATACATATATACTAGGCTATTTAATAATAGTTCAAATTTAAAATGGGCAATATTGTGCTGAATGTAGAACTTGAGGACAACAACAATAATAACTAGGTACAAAATAAAAATATATATATACTAGAAGCTGGGAGTGCTCCTCAAGAGGACTATGGTATTGTAAATTTATTAAAGTCTTATATATTTTATATTTGCAGTTTTTCAAAGTACAACTGTTTACATGTAGTAGAAAGGTAAGCAAAAGAAATGTAATAACTTAATACTGATCTTCATTATGTTATGTGCAGGAAAAAAACAGAACTTCTGCGGAGAGTAATGTTCGCGCCGCGTTGTCAGCTCGGTGGCGCTAGTAAACACGTCCTCTCTGTGCTGTCGAGTCGGTCGCGCAGCTCGGTCCATTGAGCCGCGCCGATGACAGGTCAGCACGGCGTGGACACTATAATACCGTGCTGTTTCATCCCACTTTTGGGTTGTTTGGGTTCCCATACACAAGTGTCTACCCGCTCGCACCCGCACGCACACCCGCACTCTGTTGTGTCGGGTCTTGCGGGAGCAGGTCTCTAATTCACTGGCACTGGACTCGACAGTGCGTGTGCTACATCCTTTTTACATTCGAGATGCAGTGCCTTGACAACATCAATAAACACCCAGTCTGTGTAACTTTTGAAGACTGTGGATTCAGTTACCTGAAAAAGTATATACTGTTTGAAATGGACTGTGAAGTACAAGGTAAATATACATCCATACTCATTCAGTGTAGTTCTGTCTCCTTGTTCATTAAATTATCCATTTATTCATTTAGCAGATATTTAATAATAATACAAGCAGTAACAATTAATCAAAGACTCTGCTTGCTTTGCCCAGTTTTGTAACTTAAGCATTGTGTATTATTTTTGTTTAACTTGGAGCAGAAACTGAGATTAAATGTGGCCCAGAAGACAATGACATGGGAATTTATATTACTGCCAAGTTACCTAAACACAATTCCAAAATTGAGAGATGCTTAGTACAGGGTAAGTGTAATGCGTAAACAGTAATGTTTTCAATAGCTATAAGAAGCTTTCTTTAAAGGGGTCATATGATGCGATTTCAAGTTTTCCTTTCTCTTTGGAGTGTTACAAGCTGATTGTGCATAGATAAGATCCCTGAAGTTGCAAAGACTGAAGTCTCAAAACCAAAGAGATATTCTTTATCAAAGTTAAGACTCTGCCACGCCCCCCTAAAATGGCTCGTTCTAACACGCCCCCACATATCTAGGTCACTATGAGGGAATATTTGCATAATGCGCCCAAATGTGCATGCAAGGAAAGAAAGCTTGGTTTCAGTAACCGCAGTTAGTGTTGAAGCAGCCATGTCAGAGAGACGCTGTGTTTCTCTAGGCGAAAGCAAAAGCACTTTATTTGGCCTTCCGAAAGTAGATGCATTTAGGAATCTTTAAGATTACTTACAACAGAACAGCAATGCATTTTATGGACAACCGTTTCATGAACCTAGAAGAGGAGGTAATTCTGACTTTGCTATGACAATCTGGCGCTTCTGAATCAGCGACTGTATGTTTTGTTACTAGTTTAAGTATTTGCTATTGACTGTTCAAATGCAGAGTTTTGCGCATTTGCGGAGTTGTGTGTGCGCGCGCGCGTGTGTGTGTGAGAGAGAGAGAGAGACAGGGTCACATCACAGTAGAGTCAGCTGTCTTAACCACGGCTTGTGTACTCCATCATTACTGTGTCTGTTCCCCTTTCGGGCTTGAACTGATGGTAAAACTAATGACATTATTTACTGTCTTTACATTTATTTTGAAAGATGAAGCTCGTGATTATGGTAAGGGGTGTCACATTTCCGACGAGTGCTTGCGGTGTTCGGCCAATCACAATGCACTGGGTCAACTGGCCAATCAGAACAGACTGCGCTTGTCGGAAGATGGGACTTTGTAGAAAACTAAGCGTTTGAGAGAGGCGGGGCATAGAGGACCTACAATAATGTACAGTATTTGAAAAATAATGTTTTTTTGAACATTAAAGCATGTCAACATATTCTGTTACACCAAATACACAAAATAATGATCTTTAAAAAAGCATCATACTACCCCTTTAATCATAGATATACACTCGCATAAACATATACATATGTATATTTTTTCCTTTCATTTAGATACATCCAAAAAAACAAATCTACTTTCAACCCAGGAAAGTATGAAGCATACTGCCACGTCTGTTTTGGTTTGGTTCATGTTTTCATGTCTCTTGCTTTGTATTTAGTCATAGGCTGCAATCAAAATCACATACTTGCCTACTATATAGTAGGCGAAAAACAGTATGTGACAAAAAAAGTATGTCCGAATTCACAGTAGTGATAAAAGAGTAGGCAAAAACGACCCAAATGACCTATTACTTCTGGCACGATTCTGAAGTGTGCATATGACAAGGCACTTTACTATCCCATGAGGCCACAGAAGAGGATTTATGAATGCCAGTGACGCGCTGGTAGGTCATGTGACGATGACAACATGGTGAATGTAGTACGTCCAGATTACATTCATACTACACTCATTCATGCTATATAGAACATACTCTTTTTGCAGTCGCTAAGTAATTACTTATTCAAAAAAGTACCTACTCAGGAGAGTATGCAATTTCGGACACAGCCAATGTCATCTTTCCCGACTAGTCATGCTTCTTTGTTCCAGATCATATGATTCATTATTCATTATTCCCCCTTCTTCTTCCGTTTTATGGCAGATGGCATTCATAATGTTGCATGACTGCCATCTGCTGTCTAAATTTAACTTAATATTTAGTAATTAAATTAATCCATCCAGTCAAGTCCACCTAAGGAAATTAAACAAATATTTCCTTATTTGGTCATTATTTCCACATTCTACTATACTTTTTACATTATACTGTATCTATTTCCCTTAGCTAATTATTCAGGTCTTGGCTTTCTTATATAAATGTATTGCATGACATAAAGATGTGCTTAACCGTCTCCTCCTCCTGTCAATCATCACAGTATTGTCCTATATTTTCCTATGATATGACAAGTTTTCTTTAGCTTGCAATGTCCAATCCTCAGTCTGATTATAATGAGTTGTTCCTTCCTTTTATTTCCCTTCTTTCCATACCTATATTTTACCATACCTTTATTTCAGATCATATACAGATGTCTCCCTTCAATTTTATGATCCCACTGCTGCTACCATTTTTTGCATTATCTTTTATTCCACACAAGACTCTTCCATTCCCTTCTGATTTTGATCAATTAATATTGATGCCAACACGTTCTTTTGTTGTTGCTTCTTTTACCAGTCTGTCATTTCCCTGGAGGCCCACATGCACTGGTACCGACTGTTATGCTTCTCCTTTGCCTGCTTATTCTTGAGTTTGTAAATACAATTTCATAAAGTAATTCCTGATGGTTTCTGGTATAACTAGACCTTATAAGGCCAGATACAGAATATTTAAATATTGTCACACCTGGTCTGTTCAATCCATTCTAATGCTATTAATAAAGCATATAATTCTACTGCAGGGGTGTCCAAACCTGTTCCTGGAGGGCCAAAATAGCTCCTACACACTTGCCTGGGTTCTATTTTTGGGCTTTTTATTCCTTTATTATTAAAACGGGATAGCCGAGAAATGACAGGAAAATATTGGGTAGAGAGAGGGGAGCGGGATCGGAATAGGACATCAAGACGGGAATTGAACTCGGGTCGACATGAGCGCAGTTGCGCTGTATATATCAGAAATTTCTCATGTGTCTGAAGAGCTTGATTAGCTGGTTCAGGTGTTTAATTAGGGTTGGAGCTAAACTCTGCAGGACAGTGGCCCTCCAGGAGCAGGTTTGGACACCCCTGTTCTATACAGAGTTAAATTGTCACATTCCCTTTTCCCCTATGTGATACTGTCATGTGGTATGCATGACATGGATACACCATGTCGTAATTACTGTGATTTCGAGATGACAACATGTGACGTTCTATTTGGAGCTTTTCACACGCTTGGACTCGGACTTGGAACTATCGCACTATCAATGCTTAAACATAACGCCTAATGAATCTGAGGTGGTCAGGTGGGGCAAGTTGTAGTTCTCAGAAAACTCCCAGTTCACAAGTTGTAATTCCGAGTTCTACGAGGACGTGAACACTTTTTACAAGTTGGTATCTCGTCATCACGGTAATTACGATATGGCGTGAATGTACCTTTAGTTCATGTGTCTTGTTTTCACTGGTTCACTGTGTTGTTACCTTGTTATCTGTTCTGTCTTTTCATTGGTTCTTGCTTGATTAGTTCTACTTTGTCATTGGTTGTTGTCATGTGTTTCCCCATGTTTATGTATTTAATCCCTCATGTCAGCCATGTTTGTTTGTCATGTATTGTTATTGTAACCTGTTGTTGAGTGTAGTCAAGTCTGTTTCTGGTCAAGTTCTCATGTTTATCTTATGTGTTTGTTCTGTTTGTTTTGTATTTGGTTTACGCTCTATTCAATAAACTGCTCTTGGGTTCGGACTCCTCGCCCTCAGTGGACTCTGTTACACATACAGTTTATAAATTTGGTTTTAGTATGTGCCCAGGTTTAGGTTTGGATGTAACAAAAACAAAATCCAAAGTGCATAATGCACAGCATACAGTACACACAAATTTATAATACCCCGAAAAGTGTTATTGTTATCCATAATGTGTGAAAAATGTGTGATTTACATCTACCCCTGAATTGCCATAAACTGAGAAAGATGCTCTTTGGTGGGAGAATGGTGAATCTATGAGATCTGCCAGCACAGCCTTATTAATCCCTAGCTAAACCATGATCTTTTGACTACATTTATACAGCAGAGATGATCCCTCTTTATTACCTCACAGTGGTAAACATTGAGTACTAGTGATGGGTCGTTCTTGAACGATTTGTTAATTTTGATCGTTCAGTCTCGCATGCGCAACATCCTATAGGTTCTGTACTGGAATTAGTCAAGTAGTAGTTCACCTGTTTTGAGTCTTCGGGTTTTTCGAGTCGTTTGTTCATCACGTGACATCCCCATAAGCTTAACCAATGCAGTCTGAGCTGGAAAAAGATAATTGATTAGTTCATCTCTCGAGTCATCAGGTTTTTCGAGTCGTTCGTTCATCATGTGACAGACCCATAAGCTTAACCTATGCAGTCTGAGCCGGAAAGAGAATTGATTAGTTCATCTCTCAAGTCTTCGGGTTTTTCGAGTCGTTCGTTCATCACGTGACAGACCCATAAGCTTAACCTATGCAGTCTGCGCTGGAAAGAGACTTAATAACAATAACCAACTATTTATTACCTTTGTTACAACATTCAGTGTTGAACCGAAATTCACACATTTATAAACTATAAGTAGTAAAAATCTACAATTTGAGACCAGAAACACATTGTCACGAATCCTGTCCATGGACTTCTGTTCGATCGCCACCAGGGCTCACCCTTCAGTTACACTGAATCTCGCACTACACAAACTGTTACACATCACCCTGGACTACATTTCCCATGCTCCATTGCACTAATCACAAGCTCATCTGAAACCAATCACACACAGCTGCTACCTATAACAAACACTATATAAATCAGTCTCACACCACCATTCAACGCCGAGTATTGTTTAGCGTTTATCTCTCATCAAGTGATAGCTACTTTACAAAGCCATTCCAAGTTTCTGAATCTAGTATAGCCATGTTCTTAGTCTGTTTACCCATGTCTTTATCTCGTTTTGTCTGATCTCTGCCTGCCCTGAAGTTTATAGCCTGTTTTAGAATTACCCTTTGCCTTGCTGTTTCGGACTGTGTTTGCACCTCGTCTGGACTCTAGCTCGTCTTGCGGATTCCCCGTTTGCCTCACTCTCAGGATTATTTTCGCCGGAGATCGATCACGCCCGTTTACTGGACTACTCTTGTGTCTTGCCCTCAATATACCTGTTTGCCATTGTTTGACCCATGCCTGTTATGACTATGTCTCTGTCTAATAAAAGCCTGCAGATGGATCCGCACGTCTCACGACTCGTTCACCCCGTAACAGAATACTCGGCCAAACAAGGATCCAGCAGCTTTTCCGAAGGACATTGGCCAGGTATGAACACAGCGATTCTGCTACTAGCTCTCAAGCAGGGCACACGATCACTTGAGGGTTACATTGAGGAATATTTGGTTTTGGCTAATGGCACAGAATTACCGGACTGTATGCTGATAGACTTTTTCTGTGATGGCCTTAACCAGCCTTTAAAGTCAAGAATGATTCATGAGAGTGAGTCACAGAGTAATTTTTTGGATTATGTTTTGTGGACTGTTGGTTCAGAGTTCACTGTGGGTGTCGCGGAGGAACAAGACACTGCATTCACTCACAAAATGGCGTTGACAACAAAGCCGTTTCATGCTACTTCTGTCTTTCCTGAGGCAAGTCAAGTCACCGTTGATCTTCATGAATCAAGTCAAATCACAGCTGATCTTAATGAATCAAGTCAAGTCACAGCTGATCTTCATGAATCAAGTCAAGTCACAGTTGATCGTCATGAATCAAGTCAAGTCACAGCTGATCTTCATGAGTCCAGTCAAGTCACAGTTGATCTTCCAGAGTCAAGTCAAGTCACCGTTGATCTTCCAGAGTCAAGTCAAGTCAACATTGATCGTCATGAGGCAACTCAAGTCACCGTTGATCGTCATGAGGCAAGTCAAGTCACAACTGTTCTTCATGAGTCAAGTCAAGTCACAGCTTCAATTCCTGAGTCAAGTCAAGTCTCAGCTGATCTGCCAGAGCCTCGTCACATCACAGCTGTTCATCCAGAGTCACGTCACATCACAGCTGATCATCCAGAGTCACATCACAGCTGTCCATCCAGAGTCACATCACATCACAGCTGACCTTCCAGAGTCTTGTCACATCACAGCTGATCATCCGGAGTCTTGTCACGTCTTGTCTGTTGCACCCAAATTATCAAGGTCAGTCCTTCGTTATCCCAGTCTGGTATCCAGTGTGAGGGATGCACCGCTGGTGTCTGCACACGCAGCTGGTATCCCCAAACCCACTCACTTTAGCCCTCCTGTTCCTGAACTGATTCCCCTGTCTGCAGCGCTTCCCATGATGGGGATCGCTTTTTGGTGTATTTGGGCTCCATACACCATCACAGAAACTCCTGAGGTGGTGGCGTTTACAATGGTGTCTCCAGAGGTGGCGGCTGAGGCTGCAGAACCTCCAGAGATGGCGGTGCTCGCTCCAGGTCCTCCAGAGGTGGCGGCTGAGGCTGCAGAACCTCCCAAGGCGGCGGCGCTCGCTTCAGCTCCTTGTATGGTGGTGGCCCCTAGCAATACAATTTCACCTGTTCTGTTAAGGAGGATATTAATGAACTCTGCCCGTTTCCTGATGTTACTACTGTAGAACCTCCAGAGGTGTCAGTGGTATCCACTTATAAACTCTTGTCCTGTTCTGTTCCAGCCAGGGAGGCCATCTGTGATCCCTCTGCCTGTCCTATTACGGTTATGAAGGCTGTCTATGATCCCTTTGCCAGTCCTGTAACGGCTATGAAGGCCGTCTTTGAATTCTCTGCCTGTCCTGTAGCGGCTAAGGAGGCCGTCTGTGAACTCTCTGCCCATCCTGTTCCGGCCAAGGAGGCCGTCTGTGAACTCTCTGCCTGTCCTGTTCCGGCCAAGGAGGCCACCTGTGAACTCTGCCTGTTCTGAACCAGCCAAGGACGCTGTCTGTAAATCTCCTGACTGTCCTGTTACGACTATGGAGGCTGTTTATATACTCTTGTCTTGTGTTGAACCAGCCATGGAGGCTGATTGTGAACTGTCCGTCCGTCTAGTCGCAACAAATTAACCTGTTATTTGCCCTAATAGTCCAGTCACGACCCCAGAAACCTTATCTAAGCTTCCTGTTGGCTCTAGGGGCCTTGTCACAGCCCAAAGACCCACCT